CAGAAGGGATGAGAAAATTGCTCCTTCTCTTTTATTTCTCAAGAGATGATTGGGAGGACTTAGATAAAGCTGACTTGGGGAAAGAATATTCCAGGTGCTGCCAACTGTAAGTACAAAGGCTGTGGAATGGAAAAAGGAGGGCATGTTATCCAACCAGGTGGCATGCCTCTGAAACACAGAATCAAAATCAGAGAGGCAGGCAAGAAGCCTGTAAAGAGAAGGCGGGCCAGTCATGGTAAGCACAGATTGTTGTGTGAAGAACATGCTCAGGACACGGTACAAAATTACTATCATCTCTGAGCACCAAGTTTTCATTTGCAAAAGAGGGCTGATATCAACTGTATCGAGGACTTGGGGGTAGATGATGCGGTTGCTTCTCTCCCAGCAGGATGCTCGGCACATGTTCGAGTTGGGTATGTACAGTGTTTCTACCATGCGTCTCAGCTTTATTTTTATTTTTTTAAAGATTTATTTATTTATTTATACAAGCACTGGGTACAGTCAGAAGTGCAGGAGGGTGAGAGAATTCACCAGAGCCAGAGCAGGGAACAGAACAGGCAGACGGTCGAAGTACACAACTGAGGGGAGCAGCGGGTGGCAGGAGAGATCTGTGCACCATGTGGGAGCCTCGCTGGCGGCCGGGGATCGAACCAGCACTGCAGAGGCTGCGGGCAGCTTCACAGCCCAGCGCTCAACTGCCGTGCCACCAGGGGAGGCCCTCAGCTTTAAATTCATCTCCATCAGCCGCTCCCTCCATAGAACCAGAGTCAGCATGCATGAGAGAGGATGCAGGGGTGGTAGGTGGCAACAAATCAGCAGGAGAAGGGGGCTTGGCAGAAGCGGGAGTGAGGAGGAGGTCCAGGGGGCTGGGCTTTGCACAATGAAGGCCAGTGAAGAGATGCCAACCTCACCAGGCAGCAGGAGGCCTGCTGGGTCAGGCGTGTGTGGTCAGGGAGAGGAGCGGAGCGCCCACTGACCCCACGGGCCCCACCTGGGCACTGCTGGTTGTTGGGTCCCTTCTCATGGTGGAAATTCATGGAGACAGTTTGTCCCTATGAAAGCTCTTCTCCGCTGTAGCCTAATCAAGTCTTGACATTTGAAGTTCGAACTAATTTTTGGGAAATAACTTTTCAGATTCTCATCATATAGTACTTGTTCAATATGAATAGATATAATTACTTTGCTGGAGTGATTAGCATACCCAAGAATAACTATAGACTTTCCCCAATTTTTACTTTTAGATAAATGTCAAATATCTTCTTTAAAGTGCATTTGATTTCCCTTTTCCTTAAAATTCATTAAAAAGTAGTAAAATGCGATCAAGGTGCAGGGAAGTGCAGGGAAATAATGGGAAAAGTACATGAGAAGAAAGCCAAGTTGACCTGGCACAGAAACATTTCTCAGGAGTGATTTTGTCACCAGGAAAGCAAAGGCAATTAACACAGATTTCATCTAAAGGAGACCAGCAGCAAGTGGCTGTGTTTTTTCCAGACATTTCTGGAAGCCGACTTTGGAATGGAATGGTCATTTGTTCTGAATGGGAATCCCTGGTGTAGTGAGCACACTGGCTCTGAGATCAGGGGGCCTGGGGACCACGGGGCAGCCTGGCAGCTCAGAGCCTGGCCTGGGAGGGGGGCTATCTGATCTGAGCTTCAGTTTCCTTTACTTTGAGGAAAGAACACCACACTTGCCTCGGGCATTATCTGAGGTTGCTTGAGAGGGTGCTGACACCATCTCTGGCACTGGGTAGGGTCCTCCGAAGAGCTAAGTCTACTTCCTTCCTTTCCTTTCTTCAGATCAAAAGAGGTTGGTTGTGTGGGTTAGGTAAGAATCCTGAGCTCCCTGGAGACACACTCAGCAGACAGTACAACCAAGTCTCTGTCTATTTTTACATGTTGCTGCCCTGCAGGATAAACTGGATCACACAGAGTACTTGGGCCTCATTTTGACAACATAGAATGTCCCGAGGTCCTTAATATCACTTTGCAAACCATGGCAGCTTTTTGGAGATCCAAAGGAAGAACCATTCAATCAACCTGGGTCCTCTGTGGTGGTTTCAGAAAGAGTGATTGAACTTTCACACGTCCTATGCTGGAACCTCTTATTTCTATTAAATAAATTAGTTAATTAAAATAGAATAAATATAATTTATTATTTTCACAAAAATAAAATAAAATGGATCTATCATTTCTCATGTAGCATACAATCACAATTCTTTGTGACTGATCATTTTTATCAGCCATGCACACATACCCCAGAGGTATTCCCATGGAACATTTTAAAAAGGTTCTCCTTCCTCCCCAATACTTTTTTTTTTAAGGATTTATTTATTTATTTATACAAGCACTGGGTACAGTCAGAAGCGCGGGAGGGTGAGAGAATTCGCCAGAGCCAGAGCAGGGAGCATAGCAGGCAGAAGGACCGAAGTACACTGCTGAGGGGAGCAGCGGGCGGCGGGAGAGGTCTGCGTGCCATGTGGGACCCTCCTCCAGTGGCTGGGGAGTAGCCGGGGATCGAACCGGCGCTGCAGAGGCTGCGGGCAGTTTCGCAACCCAGCACTCAACCGCTGCACCACCGGGGAGGCCCCCCCAATACTTTTCAATGGCCTGTCTAGAACAGAAAGTGATGAACAGTCTCTTTAAATACTCTCCCCAAGTCTCACAGCCAACCTTACCATTCACAGGACGGGTAAAAGGAAGTGGAGGATAAACCACGAGAGGACAGGAGATGGAGGAAAATGTGTTTGTGATAAAGCTGAATGAATCCACTCTCTCTTGCCCCTAGTTCCTGGGAGGATTTCTTTTAGAGGCTTTTGCTTTTTCACAAATTGTTCTTTGAATAATATAATCTCTAGGCTACCAGGTGGGAACCACTTCTATCCATGCAACTTTAAGTCTACATTTATCGAAACAGGAGACACTCCAGCAGCTCTCCCCACGCCCAGCATGCACTTTTTTTCCTACTGCAAGCCCTCCCTTGGGGAGGGATCTAGCTGTGCATGTGAGCCAAATGGGTATCTAACCAAGAGAAGCCTCATCAGCAAATCATTCTCTTAAATGTAACGTAAGTCTCCAGCCTCTGCTATAACAGGCTCCTGGGAAGGGATGCTTCTTTGCATTTTGAAGACTGCACATAAAATCCATGTATTTTCCACAGATCAGGTCCACACTTCATTACACATGTTAATGAACTGTATTAAAATTCTCAAATGAAGCCTTGAGATAAAGGGCTGCTGATTTTATCTATTTACCTTTAACATTTTTTAGTTGCTGACATCACCTCCACACACTTGCTTGCTTTAGAGAAAGATAGTTATAATATTTAAAGATTGGTTAATGCGACCCGATGGCAGCCTAGAAGTAAGGCACAGATACTCTTCCCCTAACTGGAGAAGCAACATTTCATAGCAGAGGAAGCACTAGATGGCATAAAGGAGGCTGAGTGCCTGTTCTTGCCTGTGTGACTGGGAATTCCTCCACTAAAGTGGCATCTGCGATTGTTTTCCACTGAAACTTGAAATATGTTTTATGACTCAAATCCGGTGAAAGGGGACAATGGTAGAGAGAAGGATAGAATTGGACTTTCAGTGGGGGACTTCGTGTACTCTTATCTGTTGTGCACCTATATAATACAGTGTTACTTCCATAAAAACTTATTAAAGAAATAAATAGGCTCTACAGTGTAATCGTCCAAGAGATAATGGAGCCATCACGTTGACTTTTCCTAATTGGGCACTTTCAGTGCAATTAAAAACTTGACTCTGAACTCAGTGGCTGCAGGGAGATGCCCTTCAGATTTGAGATACAGCATTGGAGAGTCAGACCTATCACTTCTCTGAGAGATTTTGCAAGTGACTGCATTCCACAGCTCTGCCTTTGAGCAAAGGAGAGGCTCTGGTTTTGAAATTAGTGCCTATTACCAGCCAGCCACACAGCAGACCTTTCAAAATTGGGCGTGCCATAGACGCGTGTGTCATTTTAGTTGAGAATAGAGCCTGATGCCACTTAAACACAAGGAGACACACTTCAGGTCACATAAGTAAAACCTGGCCATTTTTTTCCCTAACTTCTCCCATTTCAATCCCCTAATCTTTTATTAGTGTTTCTATTTTGAACACCTGGCTAGCCTTTCTGATTGTCTATGTCTACACAGACTTTCTCAACCTCAGTGCTCTTGACAATTTAGGCTACCTCATTCTTTGTTGTGGGCATGGTCCACATATTATAGGAAGTTTAGCAGCATCCTTGGCTTCTAATCACTCATTCCCATAGAATATGACAACCAAAAAGATCTCCAGACATCACCAACCATCCCTGGGAGACATGTATCACTTGTGTATCACTTGCCTAAGCTTTGTCTTTTTGAAACCCGAATCTTCATTTATGGGCATAAGACCAGTGCTGTTTCCTAAAGCACTCAGTTACTATTACTCTGTTGTTAATACCATTTTAACACTTCTCATTCATACATGATGTCACAATTTCCCAAGTTTCCCCCAAAAGTGCTCCCCGGAGACAAATGCATGGCGATTCTTGTCTATTACAAATTAGAAGACAGAGGCATCTCTTCAGTGATGGTATCCATGTCCCTTTTCATGACACCTGGAATCCCGCATGTGTGACAAAGAAGTCTTTGTCAGGAGGAAGAGGTATTTAGGAAAAGCCAGGCACTGTGTAAATCGAATCTGGCTGAGTCTTTTCAAGAGACAGAAGAAGAAATGCTTAATCATCTTGAGAGGATACCCTTCTCTCAACCTCGGGTGGCAGCTCTACCTCCCTCCCGAGAGGTACGTAGAACCGTATGTACAATCACATAAAGACAAGTGGCTTCAAGGAATCCCTGGGTCCTTTGGATCTTTAAAATCATTCTGAAAACTGCCATCTTCTCCCAACTGGACAGCTGCAATGTGCTCTTGCTACATCAAGTGAAACCAGCTGGCATTTTTGTGAGAGAGAAATGAACATTTCCCCCACACTCCCACTGCTTCCCATGTCTCTTACCTGCTTAAGGATTTCAGCTGCTGTTTCATGTGAACAATCAAATATCACATAGAACTCCTTGCCCTTCTTCATCTCCTTGAGCAAAGGCTTGGCATCTTTGTTCCCAGAAGGCAGCTGGCGGATTTTGATTTTAATGTTATATCTGGAGGGAGCTTTGATGAGCTCTTGCAGACGAATTAGACCTGGAAAATGATATCCAGTGATGCAATAGACTCTTCCATCAAAAGAGTATTTGTTTATTGCCATTTATAGTCAAACTCAAATCATTCCCAAAATGTACCAAGAGGCCACCTACCTAAAGGTTACATTATTGACTTTCTCATTTGTCATTCCTCTTTCTGTGTGGATTATGCTGCATTTTCCTTCTGCAGGTATGTGTGGCTCAGAAGCACAATTTTCCCAAGTGCATTTTGCATTTATTTAGAATGCAGTTGTCCTCTCCAGCTTCCAGCCAGCCCCGCAAATCTCTAACAAATCAAGTCTATAACTGTAAAACTTTTGCAAAGAAGTTGCTTGAAATTTCCAACAATGCCCAAAGACATGGATATCACCAGCTCACTTAAAAAAGCCAAAAGAATACTAAAATTTCTTGGATGGTAAAACTCTGTAAACTTTTCCTAATGTATTTCCACACAACACACTATTTCCCTATGAGTTAGCTAAGCTGCTGTCTGTAACATTACAGTTTCTGCCATATAAACTATAAATGACTCATTTTGTCTTCTGTTTAATATGATTAAATACTAAATTCAAAATTCCTTCCTTAATTAAAAAAAGCAGAGGCTTTTTAGAGATTATGTTAACAAAAGCTGGAAGAAATTTTTTTGAAAACACACTACTGGTAATTACAGGAAAGTATATATATCAATGAACTGGATGGAGAATGTTTGATTCAACCTAGGTGTGAATTGCTCAGAAGTATCATTTGTTACTGGTTGTGCTTTATGAGGACAAGACAAATGGTTATATATTATCTCCATTGTATTCCCCTTCTGATGCTTGCTACACTGCCTGGTGGTGGCTCTCACTCAAGGACTCCCATCACATTGGGAAATTGACCTTATTATTTATTACACAGTTCTGCATCTTTACGATATGTCAATTTCAAGTCACCAATACGAAATATTAAGTGTGATCAGTATTCAAATGGAAATTGTGTAAAGAGTGTGTCAGAAATTGTCTGGAGACCACATATTTTGGGCCTGATGTTTTTCTTTAATTTTCTTGCTTTATGTGTTTAGTTATCTTTCCCCTAAGAGCCCCCCTTTTTGTTAAAAGTTTCCTCAAACACCATGGGTAGATTTGGTTCTCATGTTCAGTACATTTGTAATTAATTTAGGCTTCCGAGTCAAATGGAGGAGGCCAGTGGGGAAAGGAATTATATGATCCTATCAAGAGTTAGTCACTGCTATTCTTTAATATTTTGGAGTTGGGGGTGGGCATAAAATTTGAAGTTATTAGAATGGTGACCTTCCTTCTGGACTCTTGCTTCTTTTCAAGTCAGACAATGTGGCTGTCATCTCTCATGAACCGAAGTGAGACACACTTCTTACTTTCAGTTACTTGTCCTGAACCACTGATGAGTACTGGGAATGCAAGAAAACCGAGCACCCAGACTTGAATATTAGTGATTTCTTGTATTGAATTATCCTCAGTCATCCTATGAAGCAAGTGTATTAGCCTCATTTCTTCAAATAAGGAAACCAAGGCTCAGAGCAAGTAAGTTACTCAAAGTCAAAAAGAGTTAGGTAAAGCCATGGATTCAAACTGTTGTCTGTATGCCTCCCCAGTGGCCTAGGGGTTAAGTCTCAGGCTATCAATGCCGTGGCCTGAGTTTGATCCCTGGCCAGGGAGCTGACCCACATGGCACAGCAGACAGGAGAGCCTGTCTCACCCGCTGCTCCCCTCAGCAGTGTATTTCAGTCATTCTGCCTGTTCTGCTCCCTACTCTGCCTCTAGTGAATCATCTCAACAACCCCCAACCCCATTCTACTGGCCTACACCTCAATTCCTCTATGCAAAAAATAAATAAAAATAAAATATTTAAAACAAACTGTTGTCTATGAGTCCAGCACCCAGTCCTCCCACATCACCATCCTGCCTCACATATGCAAACGTTGCTGCTCAGGGAACAGCAGAACTTTGGATTGTTTCATGAGGTGGCATAAAAGCTGAAACAGGGATCTGTCCTTTCTTCTTAACCCCAAGATGCTAAACCTCTCTCCTTTTTTTCTTATTGCCCTACTTTGCAAACACATACAGCTTTATCATTATTTTATTGTATTTTAAAAACAATTTACATGTAGAAGAACTGAGGTACAGGCCATAGGTATGGGCAGTGAGAGGATTCACCAGAGACAGAGTGGGGAGCAGAACAGGCAGATGGACTGAAATGCACTGCTGAGAGGAGCAGCGGGTGAGACAGGAGAGGTCTGCTGTGCCGTGTGGTCAGGGATCGCACTCAGGCCCAAGTGGTTGATAGCACAGAGACTTAACCCCTCAGCCATCAGCGAGGCCTTGTACATGCAATTTTTTTAAAGCGTGGCACACGGGAGATCAATGTGGCCTTTTCATAAAAAGGAGAAAACATTTTAAAAGTGCATTTCATATGCTGCAATAAACTGCCCTTTTGTTGCTTGGTGGATGGAATGTCAGTCTAAAGAGCATTGCGCTATCCTGAGGACACACACGTTTCACATGTCATTCATTCATGTTTATGGGAAAAATAGTTCTTGGATGCTCATTACTTGCCAAGCCCCACACCAAGTGCAGGCATGCTGCAGGGACACACTTGCTTTAGGGTCCTCACAGCCCTTGGGAGGATTTCATCAGATCAACTCTCATGATATGGGAGGGGCATCAATCACTGCTTAATTTCATAAATTAGGAGCTTAGGTTGATGGAGCTAGAATGGCTTTTTCCAGTACTTGTGGCAATTACATGGCTGATCAAGGATTTAAAAAGAGACTGACCTGACTCCAAATCTAGGGTTCTTTTTACCAAATCAGTGTCCCCTCTTACATTTTTAAATTGCAGATCAACTAACTGAATAATACTGTCTGTGTAAATAAATAACTGCATAGATAGAAAAAGAAAATTTGGACCAACATAAAGCATTCAACCTTTATTTGCAAATGAGGTCTTCAATAAACTTGTCACCTTCCTTCTTCTCTGAATGGCCCTGCACTTTCCCAGTGGTTTCTTTAAAAAAATGTTTATTATTTCAATATAAAAGGAGGAGTCAGAAGAAGCATTCATTACAAAAGACCAGTTTTGCACTGCACTAGATTTATCCTCAGAAGTACTCACCACTCAGTCCCTAATTATCTCATTTTTTCTGCATAGAGGAGAATTGGTTCAGGAAAAGGACAGGATCAGCAGGTCTGAAGCTTACAGACCCAAGTTGTGGGAAGAACAATGAGCAAGAAATAGAGAAGCTTATATTTCTCTTTCGAAAGCAATTATTTGCTTTAAAAAAGTCTGTCTTCATTAGCAAACATTGTAGAATTTACAATTATTCAGAGGCTCTTTTACTTTGCAGGAGACAGAATTTAGAGAAAGCTTTCCCTTGTATTTGCATTTTGCAGCAAGTCATCATTCACTTACACTTTATTGAAATGAATAGTTGAAAAATGATTTGCTAAACAAATAATGACTTCAGGGAGAGGAAATTGATTGAGGCACACCCTTAACTTTGCTAGTGGTCTTCCTGGGAGGGAGAGACCTGGGGTTGCCAGCCCTGACTTCCACATGCAGAGAGACAGGTATATAACATGATAACTGGAGATGGTGTTCTTAGCGCATGGTGCTGGAGGGACTGTGAAAATAAAATGCAAACGAGGAGACAACCAAACCAATATATTTGAGAGATACTCTGCAAAACAAACAACTGAACTGAATTCTGCAAAAAAGGCAAGAGTATGAAAGTTGAAGGAAGGCTGAACTGTTCTAGAACAAAGGAGACTGAAAATATTATTATGACAATTAAATGTAAGAAACGATCTTGGAGTCAAAAAGCCCAGTGGTCTGGGGTGGAAGATTATGTCCTCAGTGGTGGGTGTGGTGCGGTAAGGTACATCTGAAGAGGTGTCAAACTATGAGCTCTCAATCATATGCAGTGCTGTAAAAGAACACTACTACAATAAAAAGTGATAATTAAAAATTGTTATTGTGCTAAGTAGGAAACCAGAATATGTTCTGTATCTATATCTATCTACCTACCTATCCATCCATCCATCCGTCCATCCATCCATCCATCCATCCATCCATCGATCAATCTAGCAATTGTGTTGCATAAGTGCTAAGTTTCCTCTATTTGACATTTGTAGGGTGGTTATAACTAAGAAGGTCCTAGTTCTTTGGAAACACACAATGATTTGTTTAGGGGTAAATTGCCATGATATCTGCTGCTTACTTTGAAATGGTTTGACAATATTACCACTTACATTTATTATCTTTGTAGCTGCATTTATGTTGAGCGAGTCATGGAACATTAAAGTAATGTGGTCAAGAGTTAATAACTACTGAATCTAGAAGAAGGTGTACAGGAATTCATTGTACATTTCTTGCAGCTTTTCTGTAAGTTTTATATCTTTCTCAATTAAAAAAATACAAATCTTGCAGATATAGAATAATGTCATAAGAGGCTCCTTTCTCTACTCTCATCTCCAGGAATGAAATTGGAAAGTGCACCTTTGGCCTGCAAAGTGACTTTAGTACAAGGAGCCTGTTGATTTCACATGAAGCTTCAGCTGGGCTCTGCATAAACCGATAACTTCCACAATGTCCAAAAGGGCCCATGCTCAACGCTCGCTCTGACCACCTCTCTCTGCATTCAGAATTGACACAGAAAGATCCTGATTTGCATGCACATGGACTGACTCTGGAAACAGGTGGAGCATATGGAGGAGAAAAACAGAATCTGCTATTTCTAGCTGGTGTTTAAAATTTCCCATGCCCCCTTTAATAATAATAAACTTTGCTATTTACATTGCACCTTTTTATGAAATATGCGACGTGACTTATAAATAGCTCAATAAACCTCAGAATACACCTCTGAGGTGGCTAGGTGTCATTGCTATTTTACAAGAAGGAAAGTGAGGCACAGAGAGGTTAATTGTTTGGATCGGCCCTGAAAATGAGTCACAGATGCCAGGAATTGGAAGTGACCTTAAAGGTCAAA